AGCATTGCGTCCTTGATTTTTTTGTTTTTTTTCCAAATCCAAGGAGTCATCCACATTGACTTTGTCCCTCATGGTACCGCAATAAACCAACATTACTATCTAGAAGTGCTAAGGAAGTGCAAGCATAAAAACAACCCGAATTGTGGCGATTGCGGACCAAGTGCTTTATGATGAACACGCGTCTGCCCCCACAGCGTTCAAAACCAAACATTGTTTCGCGATTAACGGCAAAACAACGGTTCTTCAGTCGTCCGATCTCGCTTCGTGCGGATTATATTCATTACCAACAGGAAAATCTAAAAGAAAGACATTTTTAGAAGGTAGATGATCTTAAAGAATCGCTAGATACATTTGTCAGCATCAGTTCAGAATAATACGAAAAAATTTCCAATGGGCAGTATTTCGATGCGAATATATGTTTTCCGTATGTTATCTCAAATCAGATAAACATAATAATAGATTAAAAATATAAATAATAAACTTAGTACATAGTTCTCTTTTTGGGTACCTCCTCCTACTGAGGACGATCTGCCTGAGGCCTGACGTGGCAAGCTAGGATTTCGACCCCTATTTAAACCACAAATTTACTGTTCCCGATGAAAATCTTCTCCTCTTGTTCTATGATAAATGTTAATGTAATTTTCACTCTAATCCATTGTACCCCTGTCTTCGTGCACTCAGTTCATGTTTTCGACTAAGTGGACTGTTCAGTCTTGAGAAAGTTACTTCCGTTATTCAGTCGCTTAAGAACCCAATCTCAACACGCTGTGTGATGCCAATTGTGAAGTGTTTGAAGTCTTGTTTAGGCAGAATTAGTAATAAGAACACTAACAGCACCAACATTAGGTTGCTACCTAACAATCCGGAATTAAATAAAAGTTATAATATGATACTTAAACAAATATATGTGAATAAATTGAAGAATGACACTAGTTCTTGAGGCCAAAATCCTCACAATAGTTGACGACCACGTGAGCCGCTCAGGTAGTGGTTCTCAGGCCCGCAATCCACCAATAATCGTAAGGACTTCTCGCGCCCATATTCCGTGCTGAGACTTCAGTGACAGGCACAGAATGCAACCAACGGTTCCAGTGGCAGAGAACCAAAGTGCCAAGGAATTCTCACGCCGACATCCAACACAGATGATGAACTTGCGGCCATTAACGATTGGATGCTGACTAAGGATCCATCATCGCATCAACTAGGATTCCCAGCGGCGACCGCGTGAGTGGCTAATTATAGTACGCACGTGGTGGCATAGCAATTACGTTCCAAAATAGAGCATTTCTTGTGGCTTCACTAACCTTACTTGCTACTGTCTCTTATGGTGAGTTCTAGTGCTAATCCGAGACATCAGGCCAAAAAACCTTTTATTCCAGCGATCGCATCTTCTTCTGAACTGCTTCCGGAAATTCGTCTTGTTATTTCTACCAATAATTATACCAAGTGTCAGCTTAGAGTATATATAAGGAAACGCTTTGAAAGCTGTGTAATTAGGTAGTAAAAGACAAATACTGGCTGTGGAATGTGTCCGAAAGTTCAAGCAATTCCATTTGCATATAAGCTAACGTTGGACAGTTAATTTGCCCTTCAACAAGGACTTACGCTTGTGGAAAATCTGTTAAAAGAGTATTTTCATTCAAGCGTCTAGTTCATTCATGGGAGCTTGATTCTGATGTTTCGTTAATTCATGAGTTGAATGCTCTGCCTCCCTTTCTGTCAAAGCTTAAACATGAGGAGTCCTATCCCGTGATAAGAATCCTGTTTTAAAGGTGTCGTTACTAGTAGAAGACCTTCCCACATATTAAAGTTGGATAAGGCTGAAATTATCCAGAGAGGAGATGATCGCATGAGCTGCGAACTGCTTGAGTTATGGTTAATTGGCCTCCAGTCTATTGACAAATGCTACGACCTCCAACTTCATATTTGGTGTAGAGAGCTAGTTTGAGCACAACAATTACCAAGTGTGGAAACGCAGAAATTAACAGTTTTTTTTCAATTCCATTGCTGGTGAGCCAAGTGGCCATGCAGTTATCATGCCAAAATCCAATACGTGTGATTATATTTCATGGCTTAACGACCCGAATGCCAGCCATCAACCCATTATCGCAGCGAAAATGAACCATCGTCGAGGAAGGGGAGAGCCGTTAAGTAACGTAGGTATGTGGTAGCATAGCGACAGCTTCCTATAAATATTACAGCTCTTTGTGCATTACTTACCCATATCTGAGGCTGTCGCTGATAATGGTTTTGGGCCTGAATCGGAAACGTCAGACGAATAAAGTTTTTGTTCTGGCGAGCGTATCCACTTTTTTATAGTACAAACT